GGTAGTGTTCCCTCACTGGTTGGTTTACCCTATAAAGGTTTTCTCTTGATATGTATCTATCCCTCATTTTATAGTATTATTTATTATTATTTTGTGTTTTGAATTTGATTATTATTTAAAATTAAAGGCACCAAACTAAAAGTACTGTTGCTTTATATTATAAAGTAATTGTATGATATTACTTTATTACACAGCATTTAATGATAAACATATATAATTACCTTTTATCAATTAGTGATTGAACAGTAAGTAAGTTAACTAATTTAACAAGAGGAACAATTATGAGTTCGGGCAGTTGAAGAAGAGCATGGAACCTCGAAGCAATGAATTTGTGTTGTAAAAAAAAAATTTTTTTTTTCCTTCCTAATTATTTAAGTTATAATATAATATAGTTTCCTAATAATTTAAGTTAGGCTGCATTTTTTTCTTTCTTTTTTGTGTGTTTTTGTTTTGGTCTTTTTTTATGTTTTTGTTTTTTAAACTTAATTTTTGATAAATATTTCAAAATATTCTAAACTAACTTGCTGTGATCGGAATACTTTGCATAATGTCTTCTGAAAGTTGAAAATAACTTTAGTTGAAAATTAATTTTAAAAGCACTCTATTTTCATTGAAAGAGATATACTTAAATTACTACAAAAACATATTTTTTCGCTTAATAATTAACTTCTTATTTCTAAGTAGACAAGTTGGAGTTGCATTTGGTTCGTATCCTTCTCAATTCTTCAGATCCATTTGTGCTCATTTGATGAAATTTTTAATTAGAATATGACATACTTGTGACAGAATTTCAGCATTTAATTTCCTTCTTTATACTTGCGTGGTTGTACGTTTGTTAACATTAAACATTTCATTTTAAAAACTCCTAAAAATAAATTCCGAAAACACGATCTAGAATGACGATTCCTATCACCTAAATTTGTGATTACATGATCAACCCTGATATATTCTCCATTTTATAATTAAGTAAAAATGTCAGTATTTCTATATAAAATGAAAACACAATGGTCTAAAACAGTTTCTCGTTGTTGTCGGTACATTTTTATTGGCCTGAAAATCACATGGTATGTTTTCCTAATTGACAAAGAAGATCCAGATTTTTTTTGGTTGTCATTGGCATAAAATCAATAAATGTCATAAAGGCATTTTTTACTCGCACAATATTTCTTCATTCCTTACCTTACGATGTTTAAATGTCACTTTAATCTATCATTCATCCTTAGCATTATTTTGCTTTGTATTACTGCTGCATCCATTCTTAATATTATTTTCGCTTCTACGACTACGATTTTTAAACTCGTACATCTCATTCATTAATTTAAGATTAAATTAAACTTTTGCGGAATGAAATCTTTATAACTCTAACCCCTTACTTAAAATTAAAATCATCCCATGGTTCAATAAAACAGTTTCCTGTCTGTCTCAATGTACCCCCACACCAATGAATATTCAATAAGTAAGCCATTTTCTATTGATTTCTGGCCATACATTACAATCTGCGCCAAACTTACCCGGGCACAATTATTAAGATACTATTAATCAATCGTTGACAAGTGTTATTACATTGTAACGCAGAAATACAATACTGCACCATAGGGGTCGGTTTAGCGAAGACACAGCCATTTTAAATAAGCATGACATATAGCGCCGATACAATTGTTCTCATTCTTTCCCGCAGAGTAGCAATAGGGGAAAGGGGGCCCTGGCCCACCCCGTATTCCTGTCGCATTACATAAAATCAACCACACCAAAAGGGATTAAGTGGCCCCCGTTATGTCGCCCTTTAAATCGAAGGATGTCCCTTTATAGCACACTGAATATTGCACGTTAATGGGCGGCTAGAGATTTCCCATCAGTGCCGGGGCGGCGCTACTAACCAGACAAGGGCTACATTAGGATAGGATTAAATGGTGACAAAGGGATCGTAAAAAAGAACATCTAAGGAGATATAGGTACGATAAATAACATTTGTTATTGGATGCAGATTTTGTTGTTGGAAATTATCTGTATGCTAATCTCCAATGCATACGATGGTAATTTAAAAATTGAAATAAATTTTATTATGCCTTCTGTAAGTATCTATGAAGCAGTTTAAATTGGATCTTCTGTAATGCACAGAAGAAAAATTGCCTTATTTGTAGTTAGTGCTAGCTTTTATTTATTTACTTTCACAAGTTTAATCTAAAAAAATTTTTTTAAATCATTTAAACTTTATTTAATTCTAATTATTATTCTGAATGTATTTGATTCGTATTTATTTAGTATCAAGTTAATTTTTTAACATATATTCAGTGCATTTATTATACTCTATACATTGAGTATTATACACATTGATTAGTGTTAAATAAGTATTATATTTATCCACTGTAGAATATTGAATACACTTTAACCCTTCGACGCAGATGGGGCACCGGTATCCCTTTTATCTATTTTTTTCTGATACTCTAATTGCGAGAAAATATATACTTTGAAATTTTTTAATAATGAAAAGCAGTCTAATAAAAACTAAAAAAATCTATTGGATTATAAAAATTTTATTTATACTAAAATATAAAATACAAAAAAATGTAGTTTGAGTTTTTTGTATTCTTATTCAAAAATGTATCAATAATTGATTTTATAAATTAAAGAAATTTTTATGATAAGTATCTGTTATTCATCACTAACTACAAATAAGGGCAAATTTGAAAAATTATTGTTTGGAAGAGAATCGGGTTTGAAAGATTTTACTTTTAATGCAGATAAAGGCACCGCATTTCAGTCTGTATTTCACAACCATAAGGCGTTCTAAATATAATATTTTTCACTCATTTTGACTTTAGAAATACAAAATAATGTAAAAAGTGCGAAAAATATATTTAATAAAAATTCTGCGTCAAAATGTTAAAGCACTCTTCATTCTTTAATTTCACGGATTCAAACTAACATTTTTTAAAATAAAATCTACTCCACAATTTGAAAATTTCCTAATTTAATAAAGTAATAAATTGTTTTTTAAAATAAAAGTTTCCTTCCGTAAGTAAAGAATATTTCTAAAGAATATTACATGCTTTTTTACGAAAACACTTTATCTTCATTTCAGAAAACATTTGAACTTGTAAAAATTGTAATTCATCCATTTTCAAAAATTATTTAACCGAATTTCAGTAGATCAAAGTTGTCAGTTTTATTCTAAAAATATAAACTATATTAAAAGAAGGAATCTACATTTTTATACAGGGTAATTATCGTACAAAAATTGTTGAAGATACGATAATTTTAATGTTCTTAAAATAAATAATAACTATTAACAGATGTTATATTCACAGTGAGCAGTTCGTTTAAGCTTCAAGATATTTATGAAAATGTTTAGAGTGTACGAAACAATTAACATTCTCCGCTTATCAACGATATAAATCTAATATTATTGTTATTTTACTTTTTGTGCAAATTTTAAAATAGTATCTGCTACATACGTGACAAGAAAATATTCTTTTACATTTGCATTATTAAACTTTTTCTTTTTTTCTTTCACCACTTTTTTAGTGATTAACTTTTAAAAAGAATCTCGATTAGTCACTGCTACATGACTTCTGAAAGAGAGGTATACCTTATAGAAGTTTCAAGAAGTTCAGAGAAGACATTAGAAACTGTTTTAAAACGTTCATATTTGTTGAAAATTTTGATTCATAATATTTAAAAGGGACAAACAAGTTTCAGACACATGAAAACAAAAGGAACAGTGATTCCAAGAAGACCAAAAGTTTGCTCAAAAGCTCAAAATAGTTTAAACTGTGATGTCAACAGGTTAAATAGCAAACAATTTTTGTTTAAAGATGGCTAGTTTAACTCTCAGAGAAATTAAAAATAAGAGAGTGGATCATCTACTTAAAATTCTGTTAATATTACCTATATTTTATTTATAATATATATATTTGATTTCAAATGTCAAAATTTTGAAAAAAGGGAAGAAAAAACTGTATGAAACGGCTCTCTGTATGACTCTCGGTGACATAATAAGTAAATAAGTGAGTATCTGTTTAAAGATTTAAAATGGTTTAGACTCACACTGTAAAATATTGTCATGTACACCAAAATTTCTGAACACCAAAATTTCTGAACACTAAAAATGGAGGCAACTACTTTACTTCACAGTGGTGTTTCACTAAATGTTCCATTACACCAAAACAGAGGATATTTTCTGGTGTAGTGAAACATCTAGAATGTTCTTTTACACTAGTAAAGTACCATGCTTGTTATTCAATAACATTAAAATTTATAAGCACAGTAAGATATGGTACACATAAGAAGCGGTAAAATTATTTCATGATACAATCTAAAGATGCAATTTAATGATATAATCTATATCACAATACCAAAGTGAATCGAAGTTAAATATTATAAAATTGTTTTATACAATTGACAGATTTATGTAAATCTTATGAGAACATAAATATCTTTATTATACAGCTAACACATACATACATTTTATAACAGTTTATATGAGTAGTTTCTCAAAATAATGCAACAAAAACTTACATTTTACATTTGTAAATGAAGCGCCATATTGTCACCATTTTAAAATTGCACAATTATTCTCCTTTAAACTTCTAATAAGGGTTCAAAAGCAATTGTTATACGTTAAAAATATGCCCTACTTTCATACGCAATTTAATTAAATAGTTCAAATATGTACTAATTAATCGCTAAATTTTGCGAACTCCAAAGAACATAACCTTCTTCCCCGACGAGCTGCAAATTGGTGTAAACTTCATCAATTATTGGTTATAAAGTTTAACTATATTCTTTGAAGTATGTAAGAACGCTTGATTCAGTATTAACTTGAAATAAAGTAATAATTCACACAATTTTCAGAGTTTTTCAACGACAATATCGGACAGATATTACACCACAGTTTTGATAGTGAAGATAGAGTAAATATTATGAGTTAAAATGAACTGTATAGTTATTATCAGTATTTTAGAAACTGTGTACTAATTCTATTATTTTCCCCCCCGCAGGTGTGGTTTAAAAATAGAAGAGCTAAATGGCGGAAAAGAGAAAGAAATGCCGCTGCTGAGTTGAAAAACGGTTTCGGCAGTCAGTTCAATGGACTCATGCAGCCATTTGATGACGGCCTATATCCTGGTTACTCTTCCGGTTACAACTGGGCAGCTAAAGTGCCCAGTCCTTTGGGTGGTAAGAGCTTTCCTTGGCCTTCCCTCAATTCCGTCAATCCTCTTGGACAATGTTTCAATCCATCAACTCCACCCGGAATATCTACAGCCAGCATTGTACCATCCGTTAGTATGAATCCAGGCGTCAGTAGTGCTGGTGCTCCTTGTCCTTACGCCACGCCCACACCTCCCTATGTGTACAGAGAACAATGTCCCACTATGACATCCAGCATAGCATCTCTGAGACTGAAAGCCAAACAGCATACAGCTGCTGGCTTTGGGACATATGCTGGTAGTGTTTCTCCAAGACAAACGCCCACTTTGTCCCCGTGTCAATATGCGGCTGTAGACAGATCAACTGTATAGTACTTATTCATAAACGATTTTAAAATTTTACCATTTATAAGTGAATTTGTAAAGAGCAAATCAGCAACTGAGTAAGCAATCACGTGACAAGGATATTCTGACTTGTATATAAACCAAGAATTGAACGAAAGATTGGGACCACGCGCCATAAGTTTGTGGCTTTGTAATCATGTGGTAATGCGTCTAATGATTCGGCAAGGTTATGGATTTCTGAATTTGTTAAATCTAGCACTGGACTAGTCAAAAAGAGCTGCTTATTGGGTTCAACTCATTTGTACAATTAAAAAAAAAGAATTACGGAAATATGATTGTTAATTATTTTGTTAAATTATTCTCTGTCAGTTTTCCAAATATTTAAGAAGGGAAGACATTTCTTTTAGAAGTTTCATCAAAAAAAAATTTAAAAAAATGGTACTATATACATCTATTAAGGAGACTATTAAGTCGTCAATTAAAAAACGGTAAATTCAACTGCTCTTCTCCCCTTTTTCAATTTTTGTTATTTTTTATTCAAATAAATAAAAACAAATTAAAATAAATAAATAAATAAAATAGCTGATGAATTTACTTGCAATGGCAAAATGGATATGTACCCAGAAAATAATTATTAAAATAAAATTGTAATTTTAATTACAAATGGACTACATCAAACCATTTGCGTCTTTTTTTAAACTCATAATTTTAATTTCGACAAAAAGGAAACTTAGCAAAAGTTTCTTTTAAGTTATTGATTTTGAACTGTTTAAAAATGAAATCACAAATTTTACTGAAAGTTTACATAAATTATTTCAATTACAAATACAGTGGATCTCATAATTGAAAATATACAACTCCACGTTTTATTGATAGAAACAAATCATGAGAATTGAACTAACATAGTGTAAAACATAAAATAAATTAATAACTAGTAAAATATATGCTAAATTTGGCACTTGAATGGAAAAAAAAGTTGTGCCTAATTGTTTTTGAATTTAAACGACAGGACTTTTATATGATTATTTTAAAAACCTCATAAAACAGAGTATATATGTTTAAATTAAAATTCAATCAGATTCATAAATACATAACAAAATATCAATTCAATTTTTATTTTCAGCTTGAAAATAAATTATGCAAAATGTTTGTTTAATTTCATGGTTCTTAATTTTGATTTATTATTTAAATGTTCTGATAGATTTCTATTACTTTTATAGCTATATTTATTTCTTAATTCCTAATTATTAATTATCAACGATTTTGCCTGTGATTATAAAACTCAGCGCTCGATTTTATGCTTTTAAAATAAGACACTCGTTTTAAAATAAGACACTCGCTTTTAAAATAAGACAGTTTTGAGAACCGCGATGTCTTTAAAAATTAAAGAATAATAATGTATCATGAAGAAATTTCCTTAATTTGATAGTTATTTATTAAAAATACATAATCTAAAACATTAAATTGATGAAAATCGATATTTTTTTGAATAAATTTTTCATTTTATTTCAAAGCTACGTATTTGATTATACAAATGCAGTTTTGCATTAAATTAAAAGTATTGTAAAAAATTCTTACTAGCAGTATCCTTTGAGTACTATTTTACTTATTGAGTACTATTTTACTTTGAGTAACATTTTTACTCATCTGGTGACAAAAGAGCAAAACAAATTGAAGAGACATTACTGCATCGTTTTCAGTATCAAAAACTATTAAAATTACAACTTAAATGTGTAAATATTTAAGCAAATTTGTCAATGTTGTTTTTAAAATCAAGCCATGATAGAAGTATCAGATTCTCCTTAAAAATAACCTTCAATAAGGGCTAATTTTCAGGATGTCTGTTATACTTAACTGAGTTAATTAATCAAAAAATTCAATTTTATTTTGTATTAAATCTTATTTTTCCTGCACAATTGCATTTTTTATGTCCTCTCTGTCGTTAAAGTTTTCAAAGGAAAACGTGATAAAAGAAAGGTATTAATTTCAATGATTTTCGATAGCTTATTAACATTATTTTCAACATCCACTCTGTAATTTCTTTCCATTAAGTAAATGAAATTTTAATATTAAAATTTAAGCTTTTTTATTAATTCGATGATAAAGAAAAGGCTATAATAGGGTAGAATATGTACAAAAAATAAATCTAAAATGAAAAGATTTTGTCCAATGTTTATAGAAATTGCACTTTTTTTTAATCATTTTAGATGAAAAAAAATGAAATGAGTCACTTCGCATGGAACGCAAAATTTTTCGATTTTATTTTTAAAGAAATACAATGTTTTTTGTAATTTNTTGTCCAATGTTTATAGAAATTGCACTATTTTTTTATCATTTTAGATGAAAAAAAATGAAATGAGTCACTTCGCATGGAACGCAAAATTTTTCGATTTTATTTTTAAAGAAATACAATGTTTTTTGTAATTTTGCTAAACAAAATAGCGTTCTTATTCAAAAATCTCATACATAATTTTTTTTCACTAGTTAACTTTTTAAAAAATGAAATTGTGCTGTTTTTGAAATGATTGTTGTTTTACTAAATTTGATAAAATTAAAAATTATCAACTTCTAAAAATCTATACATACAAACTGGGAATTTAAAACATTTGATTGAGTCGTTGATTAATTTTCTTACAAACGCAGAAATTTCTGAATTTGGGAGTAGTTAGCCCGAGTTTTTTTTCCAGTTTTCCTAGAGTACAAGAGTGTAATAGAATAGAGTAACTCCTACTATATTACTATTAGTTAAAATTTACCTGTACTCGCAAATTTTAAATAATACAACCAAGTTTTAATACGGGCAAATTATTAATAATCGCTTATAAACCAATAATAGAAACGACGTAAGATTCCAAATTTAATTTTCTTTATAAAAATTTTAGTTACGATTTTATCATATCTATTTTAAGACTAATAATTTGAGTAATTACAAGCCTAACAAAAGTATTGAAATGTATAATTTACAGTTAATACATAATACAGTTAAATTTCAATTATTCCACTAATGGTTGTGTTTTATGTATTTACAAGTGTTGGATGTTATAAAAATTAAAATATGCAATATGCAGCCCTGTGTATGTGGATGCACATTTTTTTAAAATAAAAACATAACCACTCTTGTACATATTCACATCAATGTTCGCGTAATTTATACCAATACATCAAGCATTGGTGATCTGTATTATAGTACAGTCATGTATTATATATATTGTACAAATAAAATAAATCATGTCTAAGAAAATGCGTTTGTTTCATTTCAATAACAACACAAATGTATAAATATATGATTTGATATGAGGCTAATAAAATCTGTTGCAAATACTTTTTTTTAAACAAAAAAATATAATTTTGGAAAGAGGTTACTTTTAAAGGTCAGTAATGGGATCTTTTGTATGGAATTATATTTTGAATGACCTTCTTTGGAATATTTTCAAGTTTCAGAATTGTTATTAAATAGCTTTTGCAGATTATTCACTGTTTATAGACTACAGTAAAAATTTTCAGGGTGCCTTTATTCCGTCACTGAATATTTTTGACTATATTTTTGATGGGTCAAAATTATATAAGCTAATATTGGAGGTGTACTGATTGAAGAAGTGCAGTACATTAAGAATTTGGGCGTAATTATTGATAACAAACTGCAGAAGAAAGGGCATATTTCTTATGTATCCGGCAAAAATGGAAGAGTTATTGGGTTTCTAAGAATTTTAAATAATACATTTGTGGTGAAATCTGATGTTCCTAGGTTGATTTGTAAACAGAGAATCGTTCCTCTCATATCTCATGCATAGAGTTCTTGGAATCATCATCTAAGAAAGAAAATAAATTGTAGACCTCTTAGAAGAACACAACGGAGATTTCTGTTTCTAGTCCTTAAAGGGTACAGGACTATTAACAGTAAAAGCAGCGTGTTTGCTACTTCTGGTCTATCACCTACAGACTTAGCTGTTTCGAACAACCTTTAAGTTAGGAATAATTATTCAAGTAACTGCCTTGGCACTTTTGATGGCAAGCTTCCGGTAACATGCTTGCCTCACTCTTCATGTACGAAACATATCACGCTTATTACTTATACAAGCGAAGTATTTCTTTAGTAAAAAACCGTTTTTTTTTTCACAGATTGAAGTAAGTTGGGTGGAAGAGTTGGACTTGCTTGTGCCATTTACGAAGACGGAGTTGAAAAAGTTACTTTGTAACATTGATTAAGAGACGAATGCGCTGTTTTTCAAGCTGAGCTGCTGTGCATAAATCTTGCCGTGAAATAGATTAAAGACTCCTTCAGTAAAATAAGAACCTTGTGTATCAGTACAGATTCACTTCTTTACTTCATTTTCAGCGTAATACAGTTTCTGTAGAGCTTGTAATGGTAATTCAGTCCATGATGTACGCGTTCGATGGTATTGCTGAAGTTCATTTTTCTTATGTTCGGGGCCGTAGTGGTGATCTCGGTCGGCAATGATAGAACGGATCAGTTTACCGAAACCGCGACTTGCCTTGATATTGATTTTCCGATGTCTGTCCCGTTGTCACACTGGAAACATGTAGCTTGGAAAAAAACTGTTTTGGACTGGAACACTGAATTCTTAACCACACCAAAAACTGTGTGGACTAAAAGATTTTTCACAGCCATTTTTCTGCTGTTGAAGTGTTGGAAATTTTTTACTGATTTTAAATTAACTCAGATTCTTACAGGACATGGAAATTTTAACAGCTACTTGTTTAGGTTTAATTTAGTAAATCGTGATTTTTGTCCCTGCGGTCAGAATGTTAAAACTGTAGAACACATTTTATTTTATTTTAATTTATATTCAAGTCAAAGAGAAAGCTTAAAAAAGCAACTGAGACACACAGCTGTTTCTTGCCCTCCTTTTTCATCCTTGTTTGTTAAATTTACTGAAAACCTAAGCATTTTTCACAATTTTGTTTACAACCTAAAGTTTAATTTTGTTCTGTTTATTTTTAATTTACTATTGTATTTCGCCCCCTTACATTTGTAAGCCCCATGTTATACTTTGTGGAGGATGAGGAGTTGTAAAATAAATTTAAGTAAAAAAATAAAAAAATAAAAAGCTTTTCAATCCATACAGCAGAAATAAAAAGCATTTATTGAAGTCTACAGTATTATACAGTATAGTCCGTTTAAATATACAAATAAGTAATCAGTAAAAAATTCTGGATCAAATTACCGTATAAAGTTCCAGCACTTAAGGTGCATCATCCGTAAAATCCCTTTCCCCGTAAAATATCATACCGTAATTTTAACTGTAATATTTATTTAAATATAGTGATTCAGTGATTTTACGATCATTATCACTGTAAAAATTACGATATGATGCCCGCAACTTTACAGGCTATTTACTGTAATTTTGACAGTAACAGTAATTTGTGTTGACATTACTGTAATTTGCAATTTTTTATTATTAGATGTACATTCCGGTGCGGCATCATATTATTAGATTTATCGCAATTTAAGTTAGAAGTTTAACTTACTAAAAGAAAGATTAACTATACATATAGTGTTATTTAAAATGTAATTTTTGGAATTTACCATAATTTTTCCATAACTGAATAGATAATTTAGATTCTATTTATCTTGTTGAATTTCATTATTTAAATTTATAGTGAAATATTTTAAAATCAGAAGGATCAACAAAAGAAACATGTATTCGGTGACGGAAACCGAGTTCGGTGACGTCATTATCATGCATTGTTTTACTTACACTAGCCTAAATACAGTAACCAAAGATAAATAATTGATTAGAACGTGTGATAAAACCAATTTTTGATTGTTTTGAGCTGCAAGCTAGAAAACTGCTTTAATATAAAATATTTTGATTTATAACTGGCGTTGAACAGCAGACCCAATTCTGAATTTACGACTATCAATGTACAACTTCATAGCCTTGAAATTCTGAATCCATTCCAGAAGCCAAGGGAACTCCTTTGTCAACCATTGGGACAAACTCGCCGTTGTAGAGGACCCCTTTTCGATTAAACT